AATCAGTTCCATACATACAAGATGGGAAGCGACTGTCTAGGAAGGAGCATGGCGGAAAGGGATCTAGGGGTCATAGTGGACCACAAGTTGAATATGAGTCAACAGTGTGATGCTGTTGCAAAAAAAGCAAATATGATTCTAGGTTGTATCAACAGGTGTGTTGTAAGCAAAACTCGTGAAGTCATTCTGCCGCTCTATTCTGCACTAGTTAGGCCTCAGCTGGAGTACTGTGTCCAGTTCTGGGCGCCACATTTCAAGAAAGATGTGGAGAAATTGGAAAGGGTACAGAGAAGAGTGACAAGAATGATTAAAGGTTTAGAGAACATGACCTATGAAGCCAGGCTTCGTGAACTGGGCTTGTTTAGTTTGGAAAAACGAAGATTAAGGGGGGACATGATAGTGGTTTTCAAATATCTAAAAGGGTGTCACAAGGAGGAAGGAGAAAATTTGTTCCTCTTGGTTTCTGAGGACAGGACAAGGAGTAATGGGCTTAAAGTGCAGCAGGGGAGGTTTAGATTGGACATTAGGAAAAAATTCCTAACTGTCAGGGTGGTCAAATATTGGAATTAATTGCCAAGGGAGGTGGTGGAATCTCCCTCTCTGGAGATATTTAAGAACAGGTTGGATAGACATCTGTCAGGGATGGTGTAGACGGAGCTTGGTCCTGCCTTGGGGGCGGGGGGCTGGACTCGATGACCTCTTGAGGTCCCTTCCAGTCCTATTATTCTATGATTCTATGAATGGGGGTTCCCTGACCACCACCCCCAAAAGAAGACGGGTGGTGGTGGTTGGGGACTCCCTCCTAAAATGGCATAAGGGATTGGTCGGCAAAGGCTTTCCTTGCCGGCTGATCCCTGTCTTGACTGCTGCTTCGTGCCAACAAACAGCTGAGCTGGCACAATGCAGCAACGATTTTTATTCTAATGAAGCAGGGGATATTTAAATCCCTGCTTCATTGACTATGTCGGTGTGTCTAATTTACATGCCTTGGTTGGCAGAGGCATGGAGTCTAGACATACCCATGGAGTGGGGGTTTCAAGTGTGTGAATGGGAGACATGGAGGGTGTTACCTTCAAAGTCTTGATGAGCAACCGTTAAACTATCCCTTAAGTCTGAGCAGTGGTTGGTAGGGAGGGGCCTCGATTCTTTAACAAAAAGAATAGGGAAGCAGAGGCCTGGGTCTTTTCACTGGGCTGCCCTTGAAGGAAGGGGCCGGAGACCCCAGTGTGGGGAGACAGCCCTGGTTTGGAGGGGCAGCTTGAAAAGAGGTTTTAGGGTGAGTGTGAAGGGGTGCAATTAAATCCCCCTCTGTTTTTGGGGGCCTGCCCCCCTTTCCTTTCTCTTTTACACAGAATGCCAGACAGCGATTCCTTGATTAAGACCGTCATGACTCTGCTTTATCTTGTTACCCCGAGTGGAGTGTGAGGGGGGCCTGGGCCCGCCCTCTCTCCAAGCCCCAGCCCAGGGCCCTAAGGTGAGAGTGTCCTGCCTGTCCACCCCCCACGTGGCTGACGGGGTTAACCACTGTAATACGTCAGCCCGCAACTGGGGCTCCAGCCGCCCGCCCTGGGCTACTTCCTCACCCCCGCTCATCCTGTCTTCCCTCCGGCAATGCCTCTAACCGGCTTCCAGCTCCCCTCCTCTCCGGCCTTCCTCCCCCTCTTCCTCCTCCCCCCTCTTGCACCATCCTTCCTTCCTTTTGAATGTCCCGCCCCCCTTCTGCGCAGGCGCCAGCGTCTTGCCTCCCGCCGTCTTCCCCGCCCCCGCAGTCACTCGCGGGGCCGCGCGCTCCTGAGCATGCGCTGGCATCTTCCTCTCTGGGCCCCCGCTCCCTAGCTCCATCTTCATCACCGGCTTTTCTCGGGGCTTGGGGACAGGAGGGATCGCCCTTCTGCCACCCTCTCCTGGGTCCCGCCCTGGAGTCGTGCAGGGTTCTAATACCCCGTCACAGTGAGTTTGAAGAGTTTGTGCGGAGGTTTCAGTGGAGAATTAGCCAAGTGTTTTTGTTTCTTCTGATTTGTAACCTACTTTGCTCAACCTGTCCTCACTTATTTCCACTTAAACCCTACGGCTTCCATGTAATAAAACCATTTTTATTTTCTATCAAACCAATTGTAAAGAATTGTTACCTGGGGGAGGCAACCAGTGTGCACATCCCCCTGTCATTGTTACAGGTGGCTTACCCGTACCTAATTCTTTGGGGTCTGATCCCATCTGGGGAGTGGGATCCAGGAGGCTGGGCCCTGAACTGCATTCTCCTTGGACCTGAAGCGGGTCAGTGTCTGTGCTGCTTTTCGGTGGGGGCAGGGCCTTGTCTGGGGGAGATCCAGGGGGCTGGGCCAGCAGGACCAGGTGGTGAGGAGCCCCAGAGAGCAGAAAGGCAAGTGGCAGCGGCCATGTCAGCATCCCTGGAGGCCCTCCCGAGGGGTCATCTGTGATCGCTCCCATGGCAGGGACAATTTATACCTTCAAACCAATGGCACCGCTATGGGCACCCGCATGGCCCCACAATATGCCAACATTGTTATGGCTGACTCGTCCACTAGCGCTCTCCTATACTTATGCTACATTGATTACATCTTCATCATCTGGACCAGGGGATGTGGGGAAATAGATTGACAGAGCCAGATGTGTACCCAGAAGCTTCCTGCTACAAGAAAGGCCCAACAAAGAAAATAACAGAACACCACTGGCCATCACTTGGGGTACGTCTACACTACACTGGGGAGAGGTGGAGGGCTGGCTGCCAGTGGCTTGCTGGCTCATGTTTTGGGGCCACTGGGCCAGGGGCAGTGACTGCTGGCTCTGGGCTGGCAGGCTTGGAGCTCGCACAGGCACTGTGGCCAGAGTCAATCTCTTTAAGGGCTCCGGAGAGGAGGGGAGGGAGAGGAGTGTTCTTGGTTGAGGCTCGAGTGGCCACCAGGGCACCCTAGGAAGGCTGGAGGCCTCCTATTTAGAAATAAGTGTCTACACAGCACTTATTTTGAAATAGCGGTTTGGCTGTGTAGATGCTAGGAAAGTTATTTTGAAATAAGGGCTGTTATTTCGAAATAACTTTGCTGTGTAGACATGCCCTCGGGATGTACAAACCCACGTCTGCCTGATTTAGAGCAACAAGTTAAACCTTGTTCTCCCACATCCCAGCTGAGTATTCTAGGGCCTCTTTCTTTCTATTTTTAATTAAATATTTTGAAAGGTGTTGAGTTAATCCTGATATGCCATGGAAAAATCTTTGAAATTTCAAACATTTTCATTAGATAGGAAAACCTCTTCCTGACCCATCTCTTACACTGATTTCATTTCTATTGCTGATTAGCTCTATCTCACCTGCATGCTGAATTTGTCACACTATATAATAGATCTTGACACCTTTGCTTCTTGCTTCGGGTTTGTTTTTATTTGCTCCGATAGAATGCAACAAAAGTCATCAGCTAAAATGTCAATGCTCCAGAGAATCAACAACACTGATAAGAGGATGTTCCACCAACTATACCCATGATTATTCTTTGGTCTCTTGACGGAACAGTTAAATAGTGCCACTGAAAAGAATGTTTGATTGTATTTTCACCGTCTGGTATTGCTAGTCAGTTTCTCTTTAAACATACACTACATTTTTCTCCCTTAAACTTAAACTGCACTATAAATTATGGGTTCGTCTACACTGGCCCCTTTTCCGGAAGGGGCATGTAAATTTCATGAGTCGTAGTAGGGAAATGCGTGGGGGATTTAAATATCCCCCGCGGCATTTAAATAAAAATGTCCGCCGCTTTTTTCCGGCTTTTAAAAAAGCCGGAAAAGAGCGTCTACACTGGCCCCGATCCTCCGGAAAAAGCGCCCTTTTCCGGAGGCTCTTATTCCTACTTTGAAGTAGGAATAAGAGCCTCCGGAAAAGGGCGCTTTTTCCGGAGGATCGGGGCCAGTGTAGACGCTCTTTTCCGGCTTTTTTAAAAGCCGGAAAAAAGCGGCGGACATTTTTATTTAAATGCCGCGGGGGATATTTAAATCCCCCGCGGATTTCCCTACTACGATAGGTGAAATTTACATGCCCCTTCCGGAAAAGGGGCCAGTGTAGACGAGCCCTAGCAAGTTTAAAAGGAGCCATCCTGCAACAAAAAAACCTTCGAAAACAGACTTCAAAGAGAAACTGCAGAGCTACAATTCATTTGCAAATTTGACACTATCTGTTTAGGATTAAACAAAGACTGTGAATGGCTAGCCAGCTACAAAAGCAGTTTCTCCTCTCTTGGTGTTCACACCTCCACATCAGCTGCTAGAAGTAGGCCTCACCTTCCCTGACTGAATTGACCTCGTTATCTCTGGTCTTCTTCTTGATTAGTACTCCTTTCTTTTCATGTGCCTGTAGATTTATACCTGCCTCTGGAATTTCCACTACATGCATCTGACAAAGTGGGTCTTTGCCCACAAAACTTATGCTCCAATATGTCTGTTAAGATATGTCTACACTAGCCCCCTCGTTCGAAGTAGGGAGGCTAATATAGGCATTTGAATTTGCAAATGAAGCCCAGAATTTAAATATCCCAGGTTTTATTTGCATGTTCCCGTCTGGTTGCCATTTTTAAATTGTGGAATGAGGACTTAGTTCGAATTAATGTTTGACTGCTGCATATAGCCGCGGGCAGTTAGTTCAGACTAGTTGGATTTAAAAATGGTGACCAGACGGGAACACGCAAATAAAGCCTGGGATATTTGAATCCTGGGCTTCATTTGCAAGTTCAAATGCCTGCATTAGCCTCCCTAGTTCGAACTAGGGGGCTAGTGTAGACATACCCTAAGTCTATAAGGTGCCATCGGACTGCTCATTGTTTATGCAGATTCAGACTAACACAAATAGTTTTTAGCTCAGTCATGCTCTTTGGTGACCATGACAAGACCAATGCAGCATCCTCAGACTATTGCACAGACAGGACCCATTCATAGAATAAAGTCATAGGGCTGGAAGTGATCTCAGAAGTCCCAAATGTAAAGATTGTTACACCTACCTTCTCGAATATAGTGTCCCAGTGGTTTAGGTGCCTCTTCTGAAACATCCTCGTTCCCACCCATTTGGGAATTGATCAGCTCACTTCTGAGATGTCCTTGGATTCCTGGATAACGTGGCAGGGCCACAGGGCCTATAACAGGCCAGCCCAGCTAAAGGAATAGATTAGTAAGCTGATCACAGGCTGCATCTCTTTTAATCTCCTGTCTCTGCAGTTCTGTTTCTGCAGTGATGTCTCATGAGTACCCCAATAGCTCCCAATCCATCAAGCACACCCCTGAGATCAATATTTTCTAGCCTCCTGTCTATGGTAGTTGAGCAGGTAACCTCATAAAGATTCCCTTATGTCCTGAGGCAGTGACAACCTCAGTGTCCCCCACTTCTCCTGCAGCCAAGTGACGGCTGCTGATGCGCAAATGAGCCAGTGTCTCTAATGGCCCCAGTTCTTCCTGCAGGTGCGGCAGGGAGGAGGCTCCCTAGCTGCCTAAGCGAGGATGCGTCTACACAGCACAGTTTGTTCGAAATAGCAGAGAGCGTCTACACAGCAAGTCTGCTATTTCAAAATAACGTTGAAATAATGGACGGCTCCTTCTGAAATCTGTGACCCTCATTCCACGAGGAATTATGCCCATTTTGAAACAGCTGGTTCAGAAGAGGGCGCGTGTGGATGCGGCAGCTGGAGTTATTTCGAAATAAGGGGCCTCCAGGAAATCCCACAGGTCCCCTGCTGGCCGCTCTGTCCACACTCATCAGAAATCTATAGCTTCCCTTCCCCTGCAGCCCTTAAAGCTGCAGGGAGAAGGGAAAGGGCTTGTGGCACAAAGAAGATCCTACTCGCATTGTGCCACACCATCACAAGTGACCTTCAAGCCCCTGAAAATCCCTCCACCGCTCCCAGGAAGCACTCTGATGGCTCCCAGGAGACGGCCAGGCACTCCAAGAGGTGCGCACCGTCCTGGTCCTCATTGAGGTGTGGGGCAAGGAGGAAAACCTCCAGGGTCTCCGCAGGAGACGGTGCAACGCTGATATCTATGGCCACAAGGCCAATAGCCTGGCCACAAAGGGCCACATCTGGACCCAGGAGCAGATCCGGATGAAAGTGAAGGAGCTCCACCAGGCCTATTCCAAGGCAAGGGAGCGTGGCTCTTGCTCCAGGAGCTTCAGAAAGGTCTCACCAAACTAAGTGACTGGGTAACAAAATGGCAAATGAAATTTAGTGTTGGTAAATGTAAAGTAGTGCACATTGGAAAAATAATCCCAACTATACATACAATATGATGGGGACTAATTTAGGGTATGTCTACACTACCCCCCTAGTTCGAACTCGGGGGAGTAATGTAGTCATACGGAGTTGCAAATGAAGCCTGGGATTTGAATTTCCCGGGCTTCATTTGCATGAAGCCGGCTGGCGCCATTTTTAAATGCCGGCTAGTTCGGACTCCGTGCTGCGCGGCTACACGCGGCACGGACTAGCTAGTTCGGATTAGGCTTCCTAATCCGAACTAGCTGTACGCCTCGTTCCACGGAGTCCGAACTAGCCGGCATTTAAAAATGGCGCCAGCCGGCTTCATGCAAATGAAGCCCGGGAAATTCAAATCCCGGGCTTCATTTGCAACTCCGTATGACTACATTACCCCGCTAGTTCGAACTAGGGGGGTAGTGTAGACATACCCTTAGTTACAACTACTCAAGTGAGAGATCTTGGACTCATTGTGGATAGTTCTCTGAAAACATTCACGCAGTGAGCAGCGGCAGTCAGAAAAGCAAACAGAATGTTAGGAATCATTAAAAAAAGGGATAGAGAATAAGATGGAGAATATCTTATTGCCTCTATATAAAACCATGGTATGCGAACATCTGGAATACTGCATATAGATGTGATCGCTTCATCTCAAAAAAAGATATATTGGCATTGGAAAAGGTTCAGAAAAGGGCAACAAAAATTATTAGGGGATTGGACCAGGTCGCATATGAAGAGAGATTAAAAAAACTTGGGCTTTTCATCTTAGAAATAAAGAGACTAAGCGGGGGAGGGGAGGGATATGCTAGAAGTCTATAAAATCATGACTGGTGTGGAAAACATGAATAAGGAAAAGTTATTTACTTATTTCCACAATAGGAGAACTAGGGGTCACCAAAAGAAGTTAATAGGCAGCCGATTTAAAATAAATAAAAAAGACGTTTTTCTTCACTCAGCACACAGTGAACCTGTGGAACTCCTTGCCAGAGGATGTGATGAAGATTAGGACTTTAACAGGGTTCAAAAAGAGCTAGATTCATGGAGGTTAGGTCCATTCATGGAGGTTAGGTCCATTCATGACAGAAGAGGAATCACGTGAGGATCATCTGTTGTGATCCCTCCCTCCGGAGCATCTGGCATTGGCCACTATGGGCAGACAGGGCACTGGGCTGTATGGACCATTGGTCTGACCCACGATGGCCGTGCTTATGTTCTTATGAGAAATAGGATCTGAGGGACAGGTTTTCAGAAGTGCTGCTGTCTACTCACTTTTGAAAATGTGACCCTAACGAAAGAATATGTTACCATAGGAACAGGAAATTGTTCTGCCTGGTCTGATCCAGTTTTGGAAGATGGGCAGGCTGGTGTCTCAGTTATTAAATGGTTTTTGGGAGAAGCCATGGGTGTCCCCTTTAAGGAAGCTCTTCTTATACACTGATCTAGGATTTTGAGTCACACCAAAGATTCTTCTTATCAACCCAGTTCATCGTGGGAAATGCCTCTTCCCCCCATTCGTAACCCCAGTCATCCATGGACAATCGGACCATGTTCGCTCACCACATTGTGTGTTTTCACCTGACTGCTCCTCCTCCTTCTGCTGTCTCTGGGCTTTTCCTGTCTTTACAATGAACAACAATGGGGACCCATGGGCTTCAACAGCCATGGGGTGAAGATGTTACTATGTCCACTTGACCTGAATGCTGTTTCCCAATTGGTCAGACTGGGAGATGAGTCACAGTCTATTTTGCATACCATGTTGTGATTCGTGAGACTGGGATTATGTGTCTGCCTGAGAAAGGGGCAGGCGGGTGGGAGGGCATAAGGGAGGTTTATGATGGGAAGAGAAAGCAGGTGAAAAGCAAACCCTACTTGTGAAAGTGGGTAAAGCAGGGCCCTGGCCTCCCTCCAGATTTAAACCCCTCTGCCAGGTGTTTCTTTCCCCTCCACAGTTGGGAAGTGGAAGCGTTGCCTGGCCGTTTGCATCCTGGCTGGGATTCAGGCTCACAATGTCCAGTCCAGTGCAGGATTCAGCTGGATAGCCCTGCTTACTGGGCACGTGGACCGATCCCACCTTGTTTCAAAGACCTGCACTCAAGAACCTGCCTTTGCAACTCACCCTAATGTTTCACTCAGGGTATGACTACACTACCCCCCTCGTTCAAACTAGGGGGGGGTAATGTAGTCATACGGAGTTGCAAATGAAGCCCGGGATTTGAATTTCCCAGGCTTCATTTGCATGCAGCCGGCCGGCGCCATTTTTAAATGACACATGGCGCGGACGAGCTAGTTCAGATTAGGCTTCCTATCCGAACTAGCTGTACGCCTCGTGGAAGCCTAATCTGAACTACCTAGTTCGTGCCCCGTGTAGCCACGCGGCACAGGGTTCGAACGAGAAGGGATTTAAAAATGGCAGCGCCCAGTTTATGCAAATGAAGCCCGGGAAATTCAAATCCCGGGTTTCATTTGCAAGTGCGGTATGCCTACATTACCCCCCCTAGTTCGAACTAGGAGGGTAGTGTAGACATACCCGCAGATACTAAACATAGGGGCGCTGGGATCGATTGCCAGGTGCCAGCTCACCTTTTGTACCCGCTAGAGCATGGGGAACCTTAGTGTGCTATAGACCGGTTTTGTCCAGAGCCCTGTCAATGAAACACTGCAAAGGCTCGTTTCATCTCTCTCATGGCAGGGCAGGGCCTTTTGTGGCTATCACAACATCCAGTCAGGTAAGCTGCAGAAAAAGAACTTCTCTGCTCCAGCACTGGAAGGAAGTCAGTGTCACCGACAAAGACAGAAGCGTATGACTCACACATGGCCTGTCTAAGGAAACAAAGGGGTTTTCCGCACAGCATGTCAGGGGATGGTCCAGGGTCCTGGGTGCAGGGCACGCTCCCTGCAGGCTCCTGGCTAGCGTCCTCCTCCTCTTTCTCCTCTTCCCCTGTGTCGGGGCAGGGCCCTCTGCCACGGGATCAATGACTGCCCAGGATGTGGTCCAGGGCCTCGTAGTGCGGGCAGGCATCAGGGTCAGCCCCTGGTTGGGAGCCCCTGGCATAGGCCTGCTGCAGCTCTTCAATGTTAGTCCGCACCTGCTCCTGGCTGCGCATGTGGCCTCTGGTGGCCAGGCTGGCAGCCACGCGGCTGTAGACGGCCGCATTCCTGTGTCTAGTGCAGAGATCGTGGATACTGGAGGCCTCCCCCCAAACCTTGATGAGGTCCACGATCTCTGCACTAGACCAGGTGGGCGCCCGCCTCTTGCGGACCAGGGCAGGCTCCCGGGAGCTGCCAGCCTGGTCCCGGGAAGAAGCGGAGGGCTGGATGGCAGTGGGTGGCTGGTTTGTGCTGTGCCAGGTGCAGGGTCTGCTGGCTGGGTGCTGGCAGGCTTGCACCTGGCATGGGCCCCGTAGCCAGACTGTGCCCCTTTAAGGGCTCTGGGGCCGGGAGGGGGGTAGAAGAGTTTCCCTGGTGGTGCCCAGAGTGGCCACCAGAGAAAGCTGGGGAGGGCTAGCCTCCCACTGGTTCGAATTAAGAGCAGACAAGTTTTCCTGGTTGTGCCCAGAGTGGCCACCAGGGCTTCCTGGGGAGGGCTGGAGGCCCCCTGTTTCAAAATAAATGTCTACACAGCACTTAATTCGAAATAACTATTTCGAATTTGGCGTTACTCCTCATAGAATGAGGTTTACAAAATTCGAAATAATTCGAATTTAATTCGAAATAGCGGTTTGCATGTATAGACGCTATTGAAGTTAATGCGAAATAACGGCTGTTATTTCGAATTAACTTTGTAGTGTAGACATACCCAGGGTGATTAAAGTCCCCCATGAGAACCAGGGCCTGAGATCTGGAAGCTTCTCTCTGTTGTCCGAAGAAAGCCTCTTCTACCTCATCCACGTGATCTGGTGGTCTGTAGCAGACACCGACCACAATATCACCCCTGTTTCTTCCACCTCTAAACTTAACTCACAGACTCTCAACAGGCTTTTCTCCCTCTAAATACTGGAGCTCCGAGCAAACATACTGCTCTTTTACATACAATGCAACTCCTCCTCCTTTTCTCCCCTGTCTGATCTTCCTGAACAGTCTATACCCTTCCATGACAGCGCTCCAGTCATGCAAGTCATCCCACCACTCTCCTTTATTTCAGTCAAATCATAGTTCTTTGACTGGACCAGGGCTTCTAATTCTTCCTGTTTGTTTCCCAGGCTTCTCACATTTGTGTACAAACACCTTAGATAACCAGTTGATCGTCTTTAACTGAATTGAACGCCAGAAGATCAACCACTGCAGCTTCAGCCTTCAAGCAAGTAGACATGGGGCCTTAGGGCAGGCCTACAACTATGGGGGAATTCCAGTGATGTAAATAACATAACTGTTGTTGACAGTAACTTAGTATATTAAGATCAAGGACATTTATAATCATAAGGACACTGAAATCAAAATGGAGTCTTGGATTCCGCACAGAAATCAAAATGGAACCCAAAGGACTGAGAGATCTTTTTGCCGCCAAAACCATTGCCTGCACACAGCACATGGCTGTGCACACAGCACTATTGCTCTGCACACGGCACTAAAGTCTGCTCCAGGAACGCTAGTTTGCACTCAACACCACACCTTGTGCACTAGAGACGCTCTTGCTGCTTTCCCGCCTTGGGACCTTTATAAACTCAGGCCCCTGAAGAGTTCGGGTTCGTTCGGTTCCTTCGGTTTGCTGGTTCCTGTTCATCGGCAGCCTGCTGTTCCCAAGGACCGTGGTGAAGGCCGGGACCTACTCTGGAACCGACCACCATCCAGCTGCTTACAGGGTGCTTCAGTTTACCACTGTGGCGATAGCCCAGTGTTGTGGGCTCCAGCTACCTGCACCACCGAACCAAGCATACCACCTAGTCCCACTCCGATTACTGTGGGGAAAGCCCTTAACCCCAGAGCCAAGGACTAAACATTTCCATCGGGTGTGTGCTACTCACGTGCTGTCACACCATCGACAGAGCAACACCTTTGGACTCCTCAGTGTTCCTCCCTTGAGGTTGTCAAGCAGCCAACGGGTAGCAGGTCCTGAGCCTCGGCTGTCACCTCCATCCTAGACAGACTGAGTATAGTTTATGTTCTCTTGTTAACTGTGCTATCTCCTATTATCTCAGAGGGTGAGGGGTTGGTTTTCTTTGTACAGTGTTGTCTTCTGGGTTTATACTGTCATCTGTTGTATTCAATATATCTTTTCCAGGTCGGACCACCTTCTGGGACAAAGGCATTTACCATCTAGTCTGCCCCACATCAAATTTAGCTTACTAGTGCGCCTTTGCTAGTAACACTGTAGTCAATGTACCTTAAGTGGAGCTCAAGGACCAACCTCACTGCCGGAGATCGCTGGGAGAAATGCTTGCATCAACTCCTCTTACTCCTCACAATGGCTGTAGTGTTGATGTTCCCAGTAACATAGACATGTTGGAAAACTAGATCCCACCTGTCCCCTGTGGGACACTGAAACCATCACACCTCACTGCATCTCAGACCTAGGTAGGAATTTTATTGAAATGAAATAAAATTGTATATTAAAATGTGTAAAAGGTTATTCGTTGCCTTGTCCCTGCTCCCCGGGGTCATGTATGACATCCTAATGAGCAGTTTTTTAGGACAGATTGTGCAGATCTTCATCATCTGATTTTTCTCCTTTCTTAAATGCTTTCATAAGCAGGAAATTCAGTAACGATACTGACAGTAAAGTAGCATTACCAGCACAATAATTAACAGCCAGTGGTGGTTCCCACCTGCCTGGGTCATGTTTTGAAATGTGTCTTCATAATCCAAACATCTACTTTTTTATAAAGTGAAGCTGACACTGTGAATAAGTGAGGGGCTTGCCGATGGTCCTTTGGGACATCTTGGGACACCCGGCACAGGTAATCACACTTACCCTTTCTGGTCTTAAAAATGGATGCAATCTTAGCAGGCAAGAGTTGAATACACCATGAAGACACCCCAGGCACCTCCCAAATGAGATCTAGCTGAGGCAGAGGTTTGATGAGAGGAGGTTTTTTGAGGGGGTCTGTGCATGTTTGTACTTTTGAGCTGGAACATTTTGCCTGTAATCCATTCACTCCACAGTTACGACTGAATAGCCATAAAAGCGAGGCTGCTACCCTAACATTGGGATGTCAAACTCTGGAGAAGTTTTTCTTGTATCATTTGCTTGTAAATTGTTGTCCTGTGGCCCCCCTCAAGCGACTAGCTTACATAGAGGGTAACACCTGTTACTGATAGTCATGCTCAGGGCCTAACTGATCACTATCTCTGGGGTTGCGAAGGATTTTTTCCTCTGGGTCAGACTGGCAGACATCCTGGTGTTTTCACCTTCCTTTGCGGCATGGTGGATTGGAAACTTGTAGGTTTAAACTGTGAATTCTCTATAACTTCATGTCCTTGAGTCATGACTGGAGAACTTCAGCAATTGATCCATCTATCCTCTTCTTTAAATTTAAGTGGTAGAGGTCTGTTCTTTGGTGCATCTGTCTATGGGTGTTAAACCCTTCTGAGGACCTGTCATGGGATTGCGACACCCACTAATGCATCGCAAGTGATCAGTTTATTTCCTTTGTTTCTCCCAGGTTTCTTCTGAAGAAGATTTCTATGCAGAATTGCATTGGGCTTTACAGACTCGCTCAGGCTTACAACCACCAAGCTATGCTTCACGCCACCGTGCGGGTCATCATCCTAAACTTTGGAAGGTTCTGTGAAGATGACGACTTTCTGAGTCTGGACCTCAGCACTTTAATCACTATCCTGTCTTCAAATGGTCTTGGAGTTGCTTCTGAGTTAGAAGTCTACAAGGCTGTGCGACACTGGTTACGGTTTCAACCCACCACAGCTCATCAATGAGCTGATGAGACATGTCTGGCTTCCCCTCCTGACAGACAGAGAGCTTGTGGAGGTGCAGTTGGATTCAGAACGACTTGGAGATGTTCAGCTTCACTGGAAGAAGCTTGACAGTGAAGAGAGGTTGCATGAGAGTGGGGGATTCAGAGAGGGCATGTATGATGAACTGATAGCATGTGTAGATTCACAGATGTGGGAGGACCAAGAGTTGGAGAATGATTTTCTGATGGGCTGTTATGATCCCCATGTAGAAAAGTGGGAAACGTTTCCAGGCTTGAAACATTTGACACATCCAGCCTGCGTGGCGCTCGTAGACAAGCTCTATGTATCCGGAGGCATATGCAGGAATTCACATTTAGATGCATTGTATGAGTTCAACTCTTTTAAAGGTCAGTGGACAGAGCTTCCTTCAATGTCGGTGCCCCGTGCTACTCATGGATTTGTAATCTGTAATCAGCGGCTGTATGCTTTGGGAGGCTGGTGTGGATTTCATGAATTTCTCAATTCTGCAGAATGCTTTGACATAGCAGAACAGGTGTGGACTCCCATCTCCAGGATGCCTTTTGTGCTGAGCCGTTCTGCCTCCACAGTGCTCAAGAAGAAACTATACTTACTAGGAGGAGCCACAGGGCTGACTGGTTTTTGGCAATTTCATAGAGGGCTTCTGATCTATGACATAAGCTCCAACACATGGACTCAGGTGTCTCTTGACAATGGGTTCTTTTCAGCAGGTGCAGTTTCCATGACCACTGGGCTATACGTTATAGGGGGCTATACTGAAAAGAGAACCAGAGACTGGATCGAGGGTGGTCTCATACCCGAAAACCGTCACTGCACTAGGAAGTGTTTCTTTATCACTGAGGATGGCAAAGTGAATGAGGAGGTGATTGTTCCAAAACGGCCAAAGGGAATTGCTAGCGCCACTGTGGTCCCGTGGAAAAAGAGGATCTATGTGTTGGGTGGGGAAAATTTAACTCAATGTTATAAAACAATTTATTATTGGGAACCTGGTGAGCCCAGGTGGAGCAAATGCCCAGAAGATATCCCTGTCTCTTATGAAGGTGCCAGTGGCTTTGGTTGTACAACGCTGAAGAGACCCAAAAAAGAGATTCTTTCTCTTTTTGAAAAGACATCAGTAGCCCTAATAGCGGTTGCTGGGAAATAGCTGCCTCTTAATGTTTCTTTTTAGTTGGGTTTGAATAAAGGTAAATAACGGAACAAGACACAAATAAACTTTGATTAAAGAGTTGAGACCAAACAATTACACAGCCTAACACAACTGATACTTGCAAAAAACTCTGATAAATATAGAGTAGTGAACATTGTCAAACACAATACTAAATATATATATAATATGATGGGGACTACTTTGGCTACAACTACTCAAGAGAGAGATCTTGGAGTCGTGGATAGTTCTCTGAAAACATCCACTTAGTGAGCAGTGGCAGTCAAAAAAGCAGATAGAATGTTAGGAGTCATTAAAAAAGGGATAGAGAATAAGACAAAAATAACTTATTGCCTCTGTATACAACAATAGGATGCCCACATCTTGAACACTGCGTTTGGATGTGGTCTCCTCATCTCAAAAAAGATATATTGGCATTGGAAAAGTTTCAGAAAAGGGTAACAAAAATGATGCGGGATTTGGAATGGGTCCCATATGAGGAGAGATTAAAAAGATTGGACTTTTCAGCTTCGGAAAGAGGACACTAAGGGGGGATATGATAGAGGTCTATAAAATTGTGACTGGAATGGAGAAAGTGAATAAGGAAAAGTTATTTACTTATTTCCACAATATAAGAACTGGGGGTCACCAAATAAAATTAATAGGCAGCAGGTTTAAAACAACCAAAAGGAAGTTTTTCTTCACTCAGTGCACAGTCAACCTGTGGAACTCCTTGCCAGAAGATGCGGTAAAGGCTAGAACAGTAACGGGGTTCAAAAAAGAGCTAGCTAGATTCATGGAGGTTAGGTGCATCAATGGCTATTAGCAAGGGTGGGTAGGAATGGTGTCCCTGGCCTCTGTCTGGAGGTGGATGACATGAGGATTACCTGTTGTGATCCCTCGCCCTGGGGCATCTGGTATTGGCCACTGTCGGCAGACAGGCTATTGGGCTAGATGGATTTGGTCTGACCCAGTATGGCCGTTCTTACGTTCTTATGTTCTAACCACTTAAATCCCATTGTTTGTATTTAATACAATTACTTTTATTTACTATCAAGCTCAGTGTAAATAATTACTACCTGGGAGGAAGCAATCAGTGTGTACACCCTCCTTTCATTGTTAAAGGGGGCCTGCCTGAATGACTTAATTGGGGTTCTGATCCCATTTGGTGTGCATTCTTCTCAGAGCTGAAGTGATTCAGAGTCTGCATTGCCCTTTGGGGGAGGAGGGGGCAGTGATCTCAGCAGTGATTTGTGCTGTGGCTGGGGGAGACCAGGAGATCTGGTCCAGCAGGACAGGGTGCTGAGAAGCCACAGAGAGCAAGAAGGTGAGTGTCAGTGGCACCTTGGGAAGCAGCCCCAAGGAGTCTTCTGTGATCCATCTGCTGCAATGGCCTGAGTAAGATATCTCTGCCATCCTCACCTTACGTTTTCCAGCTTGTATAATCAGCCCAGCCCTGAAGCTGGTCCAGCACTTAACTGACCATCAGCACATGGTCCTCCCAAGTCTGTCTAAGGACACGAATATCATCCATGTAAGTGAGGGCAAAACTTTCCGTCACCTGCAGAGCTAATCCACCGGGTGCTGGAAGGTGACAGGTGCCCCTTGAGGCTGAAAGGCAGGACCTAAAGGGGCTCAGCCTGGCTTCTGGATCCAAAGGCACTTGCCAATAGGCGAGGTCCATAAGAGTGAGGTAGTGAGCTCCCCGCAACTTGTCTAGGAGCTTGTCAGGGCTACGCGTGGGGTAGGCATCCAACAGGGCGATGGCTTTGAACTTCAGCTAATCCACACAGAACTGGATTGACCCTTCCTTTTCGGTGAGGCTCAGGGAGGCGCTCCTCCCCCGGGGTCAGTGGGCAGCCGCTCCGCCCCCTGTACCCCGCTCAGTGCTTGTGGGGAATCAGCTGGGCTGCCGGACCGAGGGTAGCCCTCAGACCCACACCAAGTCTGTAACAAAAGTCTTTAAGCGCTGGGCCTCGTTCAGGACCCCCAAGACTGTCCTGAGGCCTGACCCTAATTCAGGGCGGGGCAGCAAGCAATCAAACAGTTAGTTCAATGCCCCGTCCCTGGTTCAGGGCAGGCAGCAGGAAACAGTTTGCAAGCCCAGGCCCTGGTTCAGGGTGGGGCGGCAGGAAATCAAACAATTCAAGTCCTGTTCAGAACAACCCCAGCCAGGTCCCCTTGCTCCGGCGGGGCTCTGGCAGATGCAGGCTGCTGTTCAGGAACAGCGGAGGGGGGAGACTGCCACCCAAGAGTGAGGTGGCGGGGGGGACGCAGGCCCACCTCCTCCACTGCCTCCAAGCCAAGGGCCCTAGCAGCAGATGAGTGGTCTGCTGCTGAGTCAGCGGGGATCCGTTCTGCAACACGCTGACCTGGTTCTAGCTCAGCCAAGCGGGGGTCGGCTACCCCCGGTCTCTCTCCTTTCTCCCCCTCGGGCTGTACCTGGTCCAGTGCTGGTCCGCTGGGCACTGTCATTCAGGAACCTGCGGCCAGGTAAGCAGACAGTTGTCTCCAGACAGATGTCCAGTAATGGGCCTGGCGGCCCTGGCCAGTCCTTGGTTCCCCAGGGTCCAGAGCCTCGTTTGGGTGCACCGGGGAGGCTTCTGGCTTCTTTGGTCCCTGGGGCTTGACTGGCCTCTCTGGCCGGCCTTTTATATCCCTGGCCCCGTCTCCTGGCTTCTGGTCAGGTGGGTTGTAGGGCCAGGTGCTGCCCACCAGGGCTCAGGGAGGGGCTCCTCCCCTCGGGGTCAGTGGGTGGCCACTGCACCCCACTACAGGGATCGACACCACGGGATAAGCCCACAGGCTGGAGGATGGTTCGATCACCCTTAGAGCCAACATGTCCTGGACCTCTCTTTCAAAGCTCTGGGCCGTGCTCCCCATAGCTGTGAATAGCATCTCACAGAGGTGGAGGGTGCCCATCTCTATTTGGTGGCCAGCCATGTTAGTGAGACTGGGTGTCAAGGCTAATTCCCCACTCTGGCACGATGAATGCAGAAGTGGGGGCCCACAAAAGCAGCCCCAAAACCTGATCTCTACAGGCTTTGGTTCAAAAACTCCACCCCTCCCCAAATCCTAATACCTGGATTTTGGGGAATCTGCTGCCACCATCAAGTGCTTTTGAACCCACAAACGGGGTGGACACTTGAAACCAACCTGGGCACCCCAAGCTCTTTTCTCCAAAGAGCTTGAAAAGAAAAGAGAAAAGAAAAGTTAATGGAGATTGCCTATCTCCTAGAACTGGAAGGGACCTTGAAAGGTCATCGAGTCCAGTCCCCTGCCTTCATAGCAGGACCAAGTACCATCCCAGACAAATTTTTGCCCCAAGTCCCTAAATGGACTCCACAAGGATTGAACTCACAACCCTGGGTTTAGCAGGCCAATGCTCAAACCACTGAGCTATCCCTCCGTACCCGTACGGCCTCCGTTCTTTGTCTGACCACAAAGAGACAGGCAACACCAGCAAGATCCAATCACAAGCTCTTTATTGGACAGTGCGCACTACAATAGAGAGCAGCCCATCTCCCAAGTGAACCAGCCACGATTTCAGTAACAAGTAAGTTTATATAGACAGTTCCGTTGCGTCATAAAACATTTGCCCAAGCATCTCAGCCCCCCCTTAATTAGTTAGAAGTTTCTAGTGTTAATGCGTATTCTTCATGGTCTTAAGCAATTCATAATGCGTCAACAGCTTTCTTATCAGCCCAGAAGGCAAGTACCAAACAACAAGGAGACAGGGAGTTAAAACAAACAAAGGGCAGAGACAGTTCGTTAAGATCAGGGTGAGAACAGAAACAGGGAGTTACTTTATCAGTTCTCAAACTAGCTGTTCCCATCACTACCGGTATAGGAATGCAGCCTTTCACTTATTTTACTTCTGCAACTCAAGCAAGTATGTAGGGAGCGCCCCTTGCTTGAACCATGTCTCTAGTTCTGCTCAGGGACTACCCAGAAACCTTTGTTAACCTCTTTCCTTGATCTGTCAAAGAAAGATTAATGGGTAGCAGGTTTAAAACTAATAAAAGGAAGTTCTTCTTCACACAGCGTGTTGTCAACCTGTGGAACTCCTTGCCAGAGGAGGCGGTGAAGGCTAGGACTATAATAGAGTTTAAAGAGAAGCTGGATAAATTCATGGAGGTTAGGTCCATAAAAGGCTATTAGCCAGGGGATAAAATGGTGTCCTTGGCCTCTGTTTGTCAGAGGCTGGAGAGGGATGGCAGGAGACAAATCGCTTGATCATTGTCTTCGGTCAACCCTCTCTGGGGTACCTGGTGCTGGCCACTGTCGGTAGACAGGATACTGGGCTAGATGGACCTTTGGTCTGACCCAGTACGGCCGTTCTTATGTTCTTATGTGTCTTAGCATAACTGCACTAGGCCCAATTCTTTAGGGCCTAACACCACCTACCCCAAACAAGTTCTGTCCGGTTCCAAGAAACCAGCCACAGATCCCTGGTCAATTTACCCTCTGGACCTTACCCACAAATCACGCTGAGCCAATCCTTTAGCATCTAACAACTAAAGGTTTATTACCACAAGAAAGAAAAGCCTGAGAGTAAGGTTGTTAAAGGAATAGTACATTACATGCATCGAATCTCCCAGTCCTCGATGCAGGCTCTAGCGGAGATGTTACAGCTGCTGGCTTAAAAGTCCTTGTTGCGCATCCTAGGATCAGGATGGGTCCACAGTTCTTTCTGGCTTTTCAATCCCTGCACTGCTGCCTCTGGGATGAAGTGCTGAGCTGAAGACCAAGATGGAGTCTGCCACATGGCCTATTTATTCCTCCTTCTTGGTTTCTTCTTGGCTATCGCAGGTCACCTGGCCCACGGCCTATTCCTGTGTTCCCTGCTGGTAGCCCTTAGGTATGAGTCACCACTCATTCTTTAGGTGTGTCCTTGGCCCATTGAGTGCCATTGTCCCACAGGGCCT